TGGTTCTCTGCATTTAACCCAGAGATACACCCAGGTGGAGCAGTGGGCAGCTATGTAGGCACCCAGGGAGCAATTGGGGATTGGGCGTCTTGCTCAGAGACACTGCAACATTTGGGAATGGCTGCGGATCGAGACTGAGGCTTTTGGGTCCCGGGTCAGCTGCTCTTGTCTCTACCCCACCTATTGAGAACCAATAATCACAATTTATCTTGTATCTTTTAAGGGGCGAGGCAGTCAGAACTCCACAAATTCTTTATCTAAGCCAGAGGAAATATCTTGCCTGGCTCTGACCGATGGAAACTTTTCAACATTTTCCAGAGGAAATGACTCGGAATCCGAATTAGGCCTGTCACGATAAACAATAAATCAATTGCATGATAAATGAAAATTATCAACCTCATTTTCATTTATCGGCTTTATTGTTTCTTAGTGTCGCTCTCTTTCTACTGAAGACACTGGATGACAAAAGACTCAACTCTGCTGTTCTTCACTGACCCCTCCCTTTCTCTTTTCTCTTTAAAATCCGTTTTAATCATCCAAAATCACGTTTTTGGATCATTAAAAGCAGCTACGCTGAGAAGCTAAGCTACGAGCTAAGCTAACAGGCCGACCTGGGGGGGGGGGGGGGGACACCTTGTCGAAGCTCCAAAATTCACTGTTGACCGCCATTTTGAGAATCGAAGAGCGACAGCTCATGTCACGTCAAGGGGCCTCCCTCCCATTTTTCTTAAAGAGAAACGCTGCTCGCTCTCTCACTATCCATCCTTCAGTTCAAACAGTCTTATACTGCCATCCAGTGGTTGAAAAAGGTATTACACTCAATACATTAACCAACATTTCTTCTTAAATAATTCTCAAATTTCAAACAATATTATCGTTTATCGCAATAATTTCTGAGACAAATAATCGCCCAGCAAAATTTGTTATCGTGACAGGCCTAATCCGAACACAAACTTTATATTAACCAACCTCTGCCAAAAAATAAAAATACACTTTCTTAGCAGCACAAACCACTTTATTCTAGTGTGTTTTGACAATAGTATCGTTATTAGAGTCCTTGATCGCAACCGAGATGAACAAAATGTGTTTCAGGTTATAAAACCCTCTGTGAGCATCTTGTAATTGTCAATTTAACAGATACTAGAAAGTCTTGCTTGTTCATTTGTATCGGTGTGTTGTACCACAAAGTCGTGCAAACAGCCGGTACACTGCAGCCTTCAACTGCTTTTGTAGCTTTGTGAACACTTGCTGCACATTTGCCACAACTGATGGACTCAGGAGGAGGCTGAGGTCCAGAGTTCCCATTAGGAGGACATGTGGCACCACACAGCAGTCTGAGCCAAGAATATGTTTCAGTTCAAGGTCGTCCTAATGAAAGAAAACCTGTTTTTTACTGGTTTGTTGTATTTTTAAATTGGAAATGACAAATCATAAACAGATGGTTATGATTAGGTGTGTGTGACAATGAAAAATTTAACCTTTATTGCTTGGAAAGGATTATTTTTAACATCAAATTAACCCACAAACCAGCCAGGTGTCTGCTTCTCTTCAAAATGTGTGCATCAGCTTGTTAAAGCCGAGCAGGTGACAAAACTGCTTCGTTCTCAGAGATCTTTGACAGTCCCTGACACAAACCTGCAGCTCTGTTCGACACAAAAGAGAGAAAGCTGTTTCATGATGGAGTTAATAAAAGAAACGGTGGAGGAGGAAAAACACAGAAATGTGCAAATTATTTGCAGAGCAGAATCTCAGAAGAAGATTCTTGAGCAAAATGAGAAACAAATAAAGATTTAATTATGGGGCTTTAATCAAGGTTTTGAAGATGCAATGCATCACATCTTGTTTGTTAACACTTCTAACATTTTGCCCCCCCCCTTTTTTTTTTTTTTTTAACAAAGCACACGTGTTTTAAGTTGCAGATAATTTCCTGCTTCTGTTTGTTGGAGACATTTTGACATTTGGTTGTAAGATCTGGGAACCAAAGCCAAAAATGTTCATCTTCTTAGTCATCTTCTGAAAAACATGAAATCTACTCTTGAGGATTCGAACGGGGAACTTATTTTTACTTCACTTCAAACAGATTTAGCTCCTGTAGCTTGATAGATGTATTTTTAGATGCACTCAACCATTTGATATCTGAGAAGTCAAGGATTTTCTTAAATAAGAACCTCAGTCTGCTCATTTTAAACCAATAAACAGCAACAAAAAGATTAATTAACACCTAAACAACTGACTTTTCAGAACACAATCACCCTTTATGTGAAGAACTGCTGCCGTCCTCTGATCATCGCAGCAGCAGGCGTTCTGAACCAACGTGCTGCTGACGAGGTCGACCTTCGTCGCCTGACGTCACGACTTTCAGCCCAACAAAACAAAAGTCACACCTCAGGCCCCGACCTCAGGAGAACCAGATGTTCTCTGGCGCTGACTCGAGTTGTAACGCACACAGGACAGTGTTTACGCCGCTGCATTCTGAAGCTTTTTAACATAATCTAAAGATAAAATATGAAGCTGCATCGTGCAACATGACTCTTTGAGCAGGAGAAAAATAAACCTAGAGGAGCTGCAGATGATTTCCACTGAGGAGAAAGATGAAGATGCTTTTGGTTGGAGTTTTTCACGCAGCATCTACTTGAGAGTAAATAACCCGTTCGTGATGTTGCATTGGAGATTTGACTCTGCCAAAATAATCAGGAACAAGAAGCTGTCTTTTTAAACTTTTATTATATTTGCACAGAGGAAACGTATCAACACGCTGGCAGGCTGCTCTGCAAAGTTCTGCAGGCAGAGGATTTTATCGGCAGTCTCAAAGCAAAGTTTGAACAAAGAGAATAAAGAAGAGTTGCAGACGGGGCTGAGTCTGGGAACTGGAGTCAGAATTAAAACCAGTGGGAACGTTTGTTTTGGGACGTCAAAGTTAAGAATCTGTCGGCTAAAAAAAGGAGTATTGTAAACAAGAGCAGCGATCAGCAATCACACCAAAGTTAAAGCTGCTTTAAATCTTACAGGAAAATAAAACTTCATGAAGCCAAGTTTCCTTCATGAACGTAGTTTAACATAAAGAGGCAAAGTGTGAGAAATAAAAACTCCTTAATGCCATTTCAAAATGCAACAGGGTTAGGGTCATCTGCTTACTCAAATAGGCCACTCTGAGGACACAAGAAGATTTTTAACCGGACGTTTAATTGCAAGTATGCTCACGAAAACAGGCTTTCACAGATGTACATGTTTAGAGCCTCGTCAGTGTGAATCTGCACCGGACAGTGAGGCAGGAAGTGTTTTTATAATCAGGCAGGTCAAGACGACCTCGGCTTCACAGATTACAGACTTGGAGCCGTCCTCGGAGTTATCAGGTGCACCTGCAGGATCCTCTGAGAGGAAGAGCAACTCCATAACTCACACACATTAAATTTAACATTAGTGACAAACATCCATTAACATTTAAATTTCCTTGACAACTTCCTACTTCATCTGCCATTGATTTTGTTCAGAAACAAACCAAATTAGAGTTTAATATCAGATCTAACACTGTACCCAAACTTTTTAATCTTTATCGGTGCTATTCAGTTGTCGGCCTGTGGGTAACTTCAATCCGGCCCACTTCATTAATTTTTTTTTTTTTTTTGGTTCTGGGTTTGCATTCTGTTTATTGCATTTATGAATCAATGCAATAAAATAAACAATTTTAAAAGGTAACAGATCATTGTAAAGCTTGGGTTATTTATGTAATGATTTTAATCAGTGGATGTCCGGCCCCCGAGCTGTTGGCTTTCAGAAACGGTGGCCCCAGTTTTGTTGAATAGCCCTGGTCCGGGTCATGGGGGTCACTGGTCCCCATATCCAGCAGTCAATATGCGAGAGGCGGGGGACACCCTGGACAGGTCTCTAGTCCATCACAGGGACACAGAGACAAACAAGAAACAACTATTCACTCTCTCACTCACACCTAGGGACAATTTAGAGTTACCAATCAGCCTAACCTGCATGTTTTTAGTCTGTGGGAGGAAACCGGAGTACCCGGAAAAAACCCACGCATGCACAGAGAGAACATGCAAACTCCACCCAGAAAGGATCCCAGCCGGGATTTGATCCAACGACTTTCTTGCTGAGAGGCGGCCGCTCTCATCAACTACTCCACCATGCCGCCCTGGCTACATTTTTATTTACAGATTGGTCTAGCATTGCCCCGCTGTCTTACATGATGAATTTTAAACCACATGATCTAACAGCACTCAGAGGAAGTTGTGGGGATGACTCTCAGATACTACCACATCAGATTGTTGCTCAATATCTGTTAAATTAACTCAGTTCTTTTTTGTATTTTCTAAAGTTAATACAGATGTATGTAAGCGTAAAGTAAAAGTAAAATTCATCAAGGTATTGTGTAGAGTAGTAGTTCTCAAATTGGGGTCCCCGGACCCCCGGCGGTCTGTGAGCCAGTGCTTGGGGGTCTGCAAGGTTTTTTTTTTGTTTGTTTTACAAGCCTGTAGATATTTAACAACCCATTAAAATACACCAAAATGCAGGAAATCACATCTACTTTATTCAAAATTTTAATTTTAAAGTGGTTGTTGATGCTGTTAATTTTCTCAAAACTGTAATTTTTGGAAGTTGAAGTTAAAAATTTTTGTTAATTATGTGTATCTTGAATAAAAAATACTCCATGTTTAAAAGTATAAAAATGGTATTAACAATTAAAGAACAAGCCTTAAGTATTTATGTTACACACATATTTTCATTGCATTAAAGAGACTGTTACAGCCCCCTACACAGAGATCCTCTTTAATTATCCCGGACGAGCCCCCATTTATGTTACGCCCCCTAGACCTGGAGGCATAACAGAGACAAATTGAAGAAAATTATTTAATAAATATGAGAGGGTCCTTGAAACTTTTTCTCCCCTGTAAGGGGTCCCTGAACCCAAAAAGTTTGAGAACCCCTGGTCAGGTGTAGAGATTAGGTTGCATTACGTTCTGATGGTTGGATTTTTCTTTCCTTAGGCCCGAGTGAGCTGGACCTCAGTCTGTTGGGTGAAACAAGCAGCCTGTCAGATGTAGCCTGCAAGACTGATGAGGTAAGATGGTGCAGTGTCACGCTGAGCACCTGATATATTTGGTTGTTTCTCCAGAGCGTGTCCAAAACCACGAGGACTGAACTGTTCTGGTTTTTATCAATGGGAACTGCTGCACTTTAAGACTTGGACATATTTACTATTTGAAATACTCCAACGTCTAATGACGATGTTATTCTAATGACTCCTGTTTGAGCTGTATAAACATCAGCTTAGTAATAATCTAATTATACTGCCTCTGTTCTGTTACAAGAATTCAATTTTTAAATTGCCATCGCTAACGAGATAAACTCTCATTTCCACATCCCAAGCTTTTGTTATCTCATCGCTCTTTACTTGCAGCGTCACAGAAATGAAAAATGCAAATTGCCTTTTCAGAAGTGGCAAACTGAAATCATTTCAAAGGTCGGATGAGTCAGGGCTGCAAACGTCCTGAGATAGCGAGTTTTGTTAGCGCTTGGCGACGTTTCACATCAGCTCCGTTCCTCCACACAATCTGCTGCCGGTGAAGAAAACAACCCCAACAATAACCCCCAACCTCTGTCTCATTTTACATCCTGCCAGTCTGGAAACTGTTTTCCTGAGATTTTCTTCAACTTGTTTTTTTTTTTTAAGCAATGAGTACTTTTCTTTTTATTTCTTATTTTGAAGAGTTTTAAAGCTGTTTTCCAACCAAGGTGCATTTTGTTGTTATGATCACATTTAGTTTATTCAGTTCAGAGTTTGTTTGTTGTCTAGTTATTTTCAGTGAAGCACGGAGGGGGCAGTATCATACTGTTGGAGTCTCACGGCTGATTCTAACTAAAAGAACAATCACTGCAGCTGAAAATAGATGTCTTTGAGTAAAACCAGCCCTAAAGTGATGCCGCTGCTGTTCAACACACCACTGACTTGAACCAAGTTTACATTTAGAACCATCTGTGGACAAATGTTCACATAGTGTTGAATGGTGGACAGTGGACCAGAGCTTCACCCTTGCAGAGTTTTTGAAGGGGGTCATGGGAGTTTTACTCTCCAGTTTACATGTTTTGTGGATTTGAGGAGGGCACGTGACTTACCATTGGTATTTTAATGGAGGTACTGCAGAGTGTGGAGTCATCTTTAGGGGTAACTATAGCAAAAGCAAAACCTGTGGAGGGCGTCTAGTTTAGGAAGCTCAGTTGTCTCTTCTATGGGGTTTCATTGAGATCTTCATTGGAATCAGAGTCTGATTCCGTTCCCAATCAGAAAAAGGTGGAACGCTTCCTTTGGATCAGGGATGAGTCTTGACCTCAAGCGATGGTGTTCAAGTTCCTGGTAGTTTTCTTCCTGGGTGATGGTAAGATGGAGCAGGAGATGGATCAGGACCTTTAATGAGGGCAATGTTCAAGTCTGTCATGGTCAAGAAAGAGCTGAGTCAACAGGTAAAACTCTGGATTTACTGGTCCATCTTCTTGAGGCATGAACCATGACCACAAGATCAAGATTCTGGATGCAACAAATAAAATGAGCTTCATTCATATGGTGGCCGAGCTCAGCCTTAGAGACAAGGTGAAGAACTCCCATCTTTGGTCTAAGAACCTCTTGAGATCTTCCTGGAGGAGCTGGAGTGTTGCAGGAGAGTCTGAAGTCTGGGTTTCCTTCCTGGTTGGTCTGTCTTCGTTGGACTTGAAGTGATGTTGGTTTTCTTTGCCCTCATGGTCTCTTTGTGTCCTTGTCTTTCAATGAATCCATCTAGTTGATGCAGCGCACCAAGTGGGCACAGTTTGTTTTTATTTATTTGTTGTTTTTTTAATACCAAATGTTAATGACTCAGTAAATTTAGGTCCTCCCTTTAAGGTAACGCCTCTTCCTACCTCCTTACTTCTAATTAAGAGATGAACTCTTCTCTCGTTTATTATTAATAATTCTTCTGGTCAAATGTCATCAAACAGGTTAAAGGGGAACTCTGTCGCCCTCTTTATTGTAAACAGCTGACGTCCTGTCACCAGCTCGTCACCTTGCAGTTACGTATTTAGATTCTCCAGCTTTGTAACGATGAGTACAATTCCCTTTCAGACTCCAACAAAGAGCATTTTGAGAAGCTGCACAAATGGGCAATCTGAACTAGTCAATCAGACGGCCTTGAGAAAGATTGAATTTTCTGGAAAATACTTTCGACCAGCTGCTAAATGCACCTCATGTTGAGTCCATCCTGTTCACTGCTGGATAATAGTGAACTATGACCTGGAGCATGAGAGGTCCTTGAAGTGCTCAGAATACTGCAGATCCGTTAAAACTGGAGTTTTATTCATCAGTACATATTTAACTGCTTAGAGGAAAAAACTTAGATCTGTTGTACTTTTACAGGAAACTAATATTTAAAATTAAGTTTTGATTTTGATGTTGCATAAAGTGAATCCATCTCACATCCAGGTGCTGCGTTCAGCATCCTGAGAGCTTAAAAGGCTTCAGAACTGGTAGTTATTTCCCATAAAACAGTCTTTGTTATGCAACTGACCTTTAGATGATCAGTGGCCAAGTGTTGTCCTGTGCTCTTCATGCAGACACATTTAAACCTGTGTTCATACAACAAGTCGTAATCGACGTAAAGTAAAAACGCTGAGCAGCTCGAGGGCAAATGACGCGCAGACAAATCAGGCGGAAAGGTTGAAGGCGGAGATGTCCCCGTGTGACCCTTCCCCTGTCGAGCAGTGACACAGGCGCTCCGGAGATGTGGAGCAGAGATGCTGTGCCACCTCGCCAACTCACATCTGTGGCTTTTGATATGAGGCGGATGGATTTTTTTTTTAAGTGCTGATCAGAGAAAGCTGCAGACTCTGAGATGTTCTCTCCCTCTGAACTGTCCACCCCCTCTGGTTTATTCCTGCTGAAAGAACTTCTTTACAGACGTCAACATCTCACCATCTGAAACTGTGTTTAACTCATTGTACAGGTGGGATAACACACCCATAAGGATACAATATGATAGATTAAAAGATTATTTAATCCAAAAAATAAAAAATTAAATACACAATTGTAGTGAACTAGGCCTCCGATCAAACCTGCCTCTGAAGACCTTCATGGGACAGGAACTGTTATTTCATTGATTTGAATCCAGAAATACAAATTAGCTCATCCAGAGACTTTCTAATTGTATCCTGAACTAATCAATTGAAAGAACACTCTTTTTTATATTATCATTACTATTTTACAATATTTTGATAATCAAAAGTGTGTTTAGTTCAAACCATTTTTAAAGAAGTGAACCACTCATTTTAAATCAACTGTGAAACAGTATTAATGATTTTTTTAATCCTCATTCAAAGTAGAAATCAAGTTAAATGTCTATGTTACAAAGTAATTATGCATTTTTGATCTTCTGTCTGAAATGAGAAGGAGTGATGTCGGTCAAAAGTCGGAGACAGTCAAAAACAAGTTATTGGAACGAACTGTCGTGTTTTTAAACCTGTCAGACAGAAACAAGAAAACTGGAACCTGTAAGTCTGTCATTTCTCAAATATTTTCTCGTCTGTAACTAACCGTTCCTAAACATTTCTGATGTTTTCTTGACTTGTAATGACCCTCTGACGTCACTAAAACCATACCCCTGTTGGTTCCTTCAACCAATCAGGACTTCCTAAAAGTGACCAGAAGCAGAACTCTTTAAAAGTCGACACTGCCTAGTTCCATTAGTTCTTTTAGTTCGGTGAGTTTCGTTAGTTCTTCTGGTTCTGATGGAGTTCGGCTGGAGTTCCTAGGAGTTCTTCTGAGTTTTTCTCAGACTCAGTCTTCTGAGTCGAGTTGGGATTATGGAGCCTTCCACATCTGAGTGGAACCTCTGATGGACTCACAGCTCGCTGTGTACCTACCCGGGAGGTGAGCGTGTTGTTGAACGGAGTACCGTCACTACTTTGGACGATTCTCAGCCATCCTAAGGAGACGCTGAAAGGTAGCGTTGAAATGGAACTCCGTACCGGAGCTGACCTATCTACTGCAAAGGTAACGAGTCGCTTCACTACCTAGTGTACCAGGGCTGAGCTGGGGTCGGATGAAGGGTGCCATTCCTCGTCAACACACTTTTCCTCATCCATCTTTTCCCTCCATTCAAACTCCTTCATTTCCCATCTTTAAACTTCTATCTTGCCAGTAATTAATCCAGATATCTTCAGAAATGTCTGTTGTTTTTATTACGTGCCAAGTTTTATTAATCAGAGCCGATCAGTCTAATCAAGTGTACAATGTTTTGATGTTAAATTTTGATTCTGTTAATAAATGACCACATTTATTTTGATGGGTCAAAGAAAATTAACGTCTCATGTCACCGATTAAACCATCGACAACACAGTACCTCTGTCACATATCTGTCAAGTAGCTCGAAAAAGAGAGAACCCGTTATTCAAATATGACTGTAGTGGAGCTCTGAAGCTCACCAAGCTAACCTAGCCTTTAGCATACTACACAATGTAGGAAAATAAAAGTAGAAATCAGTAAAGTAAAAAAATTGCAGAAATGTGTAGAAAAGGCTTACCGTAGTTTTTGCTGTATAAGTCGCACCTTTTTGCATAAATTAGCATGCCTGCGACTTAAGACAGCGAAGCGACGTATTTGTTTGTTTGTTTTACCATATTTATAACCAATTTTTGGCTGAAATGTGATGAGTTCATTCATTCTGACATGGAAAATATAGAACACTACCATTTTCAGCCACTAGAGGACCCTCGAGTAATATGGCAAGCCAAGTGTCTCATTAATAGGTAAAAGTGGTTATTAATGAGATACTTTGCTTGCCGTACCATGCCACCTTTTTCTCGCTCCAGAACTCCTGAAACAAACGTCAAACCAGCTTGATGTCGCTGCACCGCCCAGGTGAAATGCAGCTGATTTGACCATTAAAGTGCATTTATTAGGGAAAAGTTAAACTGAGACACACCTTTACTATAATTTAGAGCAAACAAAAAATTGTTTAGGTGGTTATCTTTCGAAATTTTGAAGAAACGCACAGCGAGTCCTCCCTCTGTGCACTCCTGCAGCTGCGAATTGGC